GTGGTGCTGGGGGATTGAACCGCGGTCCCTGATGCCTTGCCAAGCTTGTTCTAAGTAGGTGCTTTAGACCACTGAGCCATCTCTCCAGCCCCAGGGATACTTTTGATTTATTCTCCATGAAGGTGAACATGTTCCAAAAGGAAGTAAAACAATTTTCAAAAAGTATAAACCACAGCTGGGGATTGAGAGCTCAGCAGAATAAGCACCTGCCTGGAGGTGCAAGGTCCTGAGGCTAATCTCCCACACTGCCCCCCCCCCCCAGGCAATTCTGAAAGTAATTTCTGTGAACTGTTACATGCAAATACTAAGTAAAAGTTCCTAAGCAATCTGCCAATTTGGGTACGTTAGGGGCAGCAGGGAGTGTTCTCCCTTCTAAAAAATAAAATACTGCACACTCTAACAAACTCCACAGTTGCAAAGACAGAATAATGACCCTATTCACGACTTACTCATGGTCAGCTGGGCTATAACTCCACAGCAGTGGGGAACAAACAGCTTCAAAGACTCTTCTGGACAGCACTGAAACACATGTGCACAAAGAGGTCCTGAAAAGCATTTTCAGTTACACAAATACACTAGGAGTGTTGTCGGCGGCAAATAAACGGTGCACACAGCTGCAGAACCAATGACGCGCTTAAGGGTACCAAGCGCGTCCAAAAGAACCAGCTCTACTGACCTGCTAGTCGCCGCGTCATCAACTCACCAGCCCCAAGAAGCGCACTCACCTTCACGGCAGCACGACACATGTCTGCCACCATGCGGCCTGCTACTCTTGTTTCAAATATATGTGAAATAGAAAAATTAAAAACTTTCTGAAGGGCCACCTGTTAAGGTATAAAAGAAAAGGTCATTTTTCAGAAAATTAAACATGGAACATAAAAGAAAACGATAGACACACTCAAGTTACATAAAAAAAGCCAAGTAAGCAATTTTTGACTAGCTGACTTTATGAGGATTTGCTCAGTGATGTTACATTCAGGTATAAGAATAGCATTTGCAGATAATTCTACCCTTAACACATAAGGAGTAAGATTTTACTTTCTACAGAAATCTCCCATACAAAATTATAGCTGCTGGAATCAAATGCAATTAGATTATCTTGATAATTAATCCAAAATAACAGGAACATTTTTAGAATGTCTAATGTTTACAACTTGTCTTTTTGGCAACTACAAACCTTATAAAAATTTAAACTGTTCAAAGACTTGAAGCAGTCTATTTAATTTTACAATCATCACAGAATTTTATTTTTCACAGAATTTTAACTTGCTTGCTAAAGGAAGAACTGAGTTCTAAATTGGGATTTACCATGCTGAAAATTATGAACAACTCCTTTCTGTTGGACAAGAGATAATTTGTGTTCATTCTTTAAACTCAGTTAAGGGCTGATGACACAGCTCAGTGGCACAGCGCCGGCATGGCAAGCACAAAGTCCTGAGTTTGATTCCTAGTACCAAAAAAAAAAAAAAGAGTTCTTTGCTCTTTAATCTTAGGAGCTATTCTATTTTATATAGCTGTAAGGTGGCATATCCTTCAGCCAGGATGAACACTGTTAAACAGTCATAATCTCAGATAAAGGGAGAAGAAAAAGAACTGAAAACAAAGAGCATTCTTAAGGACCTGACTGCCTGTAAGGATCAATCAGTACCAAATAAGGGAATGTTAACCAAATGCCTTAACGAGGACAACTTTTTCTAATCCATCACAGCTAGACCATTATACTTGGTATTTAATTCCTGCCATGGAATTGCATGCAACTTTCTACACTTCTCCCTTAGAAGTCCATTTCACAGTAACAACGGTCTAGAAGGCTGCTGTGAGTGCTGAACTAGCAAGTACTGAGCCACTGTTCCCAAAGGAAACACCGGACGAGACGACTGTGAGCATCTGGGCACGTTTTCAATAGCCCACTGACACGTGACTCTGTTTGTAAGCATTTGTTTATGGCTTATTTAATACACAGTGTTGGCTCCTCAGCACTGAGCTCAGCCAACAGCCACACAACTACCTGGTGCAATGTATTTGGCGTATATTCGTTCACTGAGCCAGGACAGGTTTTGGGCTGAAGAGCAGACCTCACTCATGGTATACACAAAAACTCAAGTGCAAATTTAAAACATCAAATGAAATGAAAACAGCAGAGGGTAGTGACTGCGCGATGCTCTCTTACCGTGAATATTTCTTTGGAACACTGTGTAAGGATTGTACTGAACGTGGAGGACAGACCTAACTCCACCAAACTCTCCAAGTGAGTCATTTTCTCAGTTTCGGTCTCTTCTCTTGTTTGCTCCAATGTACTACTTTCTATAAGTCCAAAGCATCTAAAGACCCCAAACAAAGTACCATTTAGCCGCTAACAACAGGTTTAATCTTTTCTATAGCAGGCAGATAAGCCTCCACGACCATGATCCTTCAGGGACAGCTGCTTAATTGACAGCTGGCTCACAAATCAATTTTCTGTTTTTAACTTTGCAGCAGCTCAATGAGGGTTAAAATCAGGGAGAAACTAAGGTTTTGGCTTGGGAGAGTCCCTTATTTTATTTTGGCCCTTTTCTGAATACAAGAAAAGGACAGATCTAGGCCTCCAGCTCACCTGTCCATAAACTGTAGGACAAAATCCTCAAACTCAGCTGTGGCTGAACAAAGCTCTCGTTCCACCTGTAATATGCCAGAATAAAGAAAAGTCACAAACAGCTTTGGATTGTTTATTCTAAACTAGTAACACTCAATTATGCCTACCAAAGAGATATAATAAATGATTACAATGGCTACTATAAGAAACAAGATCATAATCATATGTTGATTTAGAACAATTTAATCTAGTACGTTTTTAGGGATCAAAGTAATGAACTGAAAAATACCTCTGGGTGACAGCTATGCAGACTACCTCACTATTTAATGCCATGTTACCACAAAACAGTAACTCTACCTTAGAGAATGCATCTGCCATTGTTTTAAACTCTCAAATATTACTATACCTATTCAGTAAGAATTAGAACACTCAGTTAACCCTTTCTATCCAGAAAGCATCCTTACTTCAGTGAGGTCGTTTCTTTCTTGGAGTACAGATGAACAATCCACTAAAGGCACCAGAGTAGAAAATGTTGCTATAAACTGGAATGTGATCTGTGGGAATAAGCAATTTCAAAATGAATTACAAGTTCAAAAAAATCTAAATCATCCAGATAAATTACGTTAAGGAAAATCTCATGATGATCTGTATGTTTTTCACTTAGAAATGAGCATTTTAAGGTTCTGAAAATTAACTGTCACCTTAGTAATAAAGTTACTTAAAAAACTTCAATCCTTTGTCAATGAGAAGCTCTCGGTCTCCAAGCAGGCAACATGAATGAAAGGCAAGCAGGAGACGCTACAGCAGATGTACGGGAGCGGGGCAGCGGGGGAGGGAGGGAAAGGAGGGGGCCGGCGGGAGCCATGCCTGCGCAGCAGCAGGCATTCTCTACCACGCAGCTGGTCATCGTATCTCCTTATTGCCAAGAAAACCAACAAACATGCAATGAGATTTAAGACGCCACAGAATTAGGTCTGTGGTCTAGCTCAGCGGTCCAGCACTCCCGGACCACTTAAGGTCCTCGGTTCAGTCCTGGCACAACGGCCAGGTTCTAACCTTGTGACACATGCAGCTTACAGCAGGCGACTTCTGAAAAGGCATTCTATAGAGCAGCTGTCCACACTTAAGCTTAGGCATCTATGTACTCCTGTCATCACTACCAGATCTCATGAGGCAGTGTGTTCTAAAAGGTGTCTGGAAAGTTTCCGGGACACACACTTACGCAGCGTGACGCGTGTGACAGCCGCGCGGATGCTCACCATGCACTTACTGAAGTCGTTGGGGTCCACCCCAGGCAGCGCTCTCATCAACAGAGGTAGCATGTGTGTCGGGCCTTCAGGAAACCATCTGCCTCCTGACACCAAGCTTCGGGCTACTCCAATCACACAGCTGAGAGTAGCCGTGAGCTGGTGAGGCTCTGTTAATGTCTCTAACGCTGGGTATGTTCTACAGTTCGAAAATGCAATTTTACAATGTTAAATACACTAAATCCGTGTAGTACAATTTGACTGAAAGGATAAAAGCAGATTTGCTATCAAATTTAATAGAATTACACAGAAAATTACAGAACACTGCATGATTCTACAATTCCCTATCTCACGGCCTGTCTTTTTATAAATTCCACAGTAAAAATGAGCACGGACTGGTAGACTGCCTTGCTTCTCAGTCACCTTTTTTTTGGACAGGGTTTTGCTCTGTAATTCAGGCTAATTTGAGCTCACTGAGCAGCCCAACTCAGCCTCCCATTGCTGGGATTATAGCCACGCCAGCACACCCAGTTTCAGTCACTTTAATCCATACTAAACTGATCTAAGGGCTCACTGAGTAACAGAATTCAGGAGTAACAACTTACAAATACTCCTCAAAACAGAACAAAACAAAAATAGTACCGTTGTCCTTTCTCCATAAAAACAAGTTGAAAGCAGCATGCAGTGGCAGAGCCTGTCATAACAGCACTGGGGAGGATGAAGCAGAATTACTACCGTCGGGCGACACGTGGGTTGGGCTACAAAGTGAGCTCCCAGCCAGCCAAAAAGGAAAAAGAGTACCTAAAATTTATCTCATTATAATTTCAGTAACAAAAGGCTTGCAGGACGGGGGACATGCCCAGCAAGCAGTCCCGAGTTTGACTGCCAGCATCTGGCATGACAGCACACAACCGTAATCCCAGCACTGGGGAGGCTGAGGCTGGAACACCACTGTTAAGCTTGCCAGCCCAGCTACGATGTAAGTGTCAGGCCAGCCTGAAACGCAAAGTGAGACCTTGTCTCACAGAGACACACACACACTAAAAGACACTTAAAACTGAAAATCAGTGACATGAAACAAGAGAATACTCATGACGCTGGTCCGAATCATCTGTGAGGAGCACGACGCCAATCTTCGACCAGTCGTGAAAAGCCAAGGGCACTTCCCCGACTCAGGGCTTTCACTTCTTTAAAGACCCTGTCTTACGGATGGGAGTGAAATAAAATGGAGGCACCCTACATTCTACTTACCCAGAAACGATAAACAATAAGGGAAACTTCACCACATATTAAATGAGAAAAGGAAGATTTTAAATGGTAAAAATAATTTTAAAAATGAAGAAAACATATCAAACTGTCTTTTGGAGATACAAAACTAAGAATTTCTCTTCTACATTTTTAATTCTTCAATTTCTTTTGAATTTAGACAAGGTCTTGCTTTTATCTAGGCTTGCCTCAAATGCTTGGACTCCAGAAATCTTGCTGCCGCAGTCTTCTGGTGTGTACCACCATGCCTGGCTACATTTTAAGTTTTTAAAAAAGTGTTTTTATAAAAGAACACACAAGCCTCACATGGTGGTCAAGTGTACATCATACAACATGTTGATGTTATTTGTGCAAGAACTGAAGACTAAGGAAATGTGATGAATGTACACGCTCAGGGTTAGAAGCTTTGTTCTGCAAAACAATGTCTCACTATTCATAACTAATCAGCTAGAAAATTACACAAATAAGGTAAAATAAAGGGGAAGTAAAGAAAGATTAAAACATATCAAACTTCAAAATTCTAACAGTACATACACCTGAAATTGCTCTTCCCCAGAGAGCACAAAGGAACCGTCTACGGCTTAACAGCTTCTAGCACCCAGCAGGGCTGAGCAGCAAAGAACCCTGGGACGTAAAAGGGGGGCAGAGCCACGTCTTCACCACACTTCCTCCCTGGGTTCTGTATGTTGGAGCGGTGCCCTTGGCCAAGGGAACGTGAGCAATACCTGGCCTCCCTCAAGAGGCAGAAACTGACTGTGGTCTATTACTTCTACTACCAACCTTGCACAAATAAAACTCAACTGCTAGACTCTTCTGGCCTCTAAAAACTACTGACAATCGCCTGGCAAGCGCAAGGACCAGGGTTCGATCCTCGGTACCTCAGGCCTGTTGGCCCCGCCTGGGCAAGCTGAGCTGGCCACCGAAACTGGGAGTGATGGCACAGGCCTATCATCCCAGGGCTGGGGAGACCAAGACTGGAGGAGCACTACTATGAGTCTGAGCTGCGCTGTGAAACCCTAACCAAATACATAAATGAAAGATTTAAAAAATTTTAAAACAACTGACAATTTTCCTTCCATTTTTTTTTCTTTCTTTTTTTTTTGGCTAGCCCAGGCTGTGTTGAGGGTGGGTCTAGTGCAGCTCGTGGAGCTGGGGATTGAACCGCAGTCCCCTGTGGCTGAGTTTGCTCAAGCAGGCACTTTAAACACCTGAACTAATGGGGAAGCCCCAATCTAACCGGGAAGCCCCTTCTTCCACTTTTGACAATGACATTCAAAGAAAATTTAAGATTCACATTCAAGCATCAGCACAAGAGAGACAAAGCAAAAAGTTAAAGTAATCTGGTCCTGAATATTCAAAGCACTGCCTGTCTCAGGACTCATTGTCCTGTGCACAACGGCTAGGTTCGTGGAAAGCTACTGTACTCTTCCAACATGCAAATCAGAGTATAGTAAAAGTTACACTGTAAAACAACAGATTAAGGTTACAAGATATATCACTGTCTTTCATGTCATCAATTCACATACTCATAAATCTTAAATTATGTGCAAAAACTTGGGTAATGGGTATGTCCACACAATCCAAAATCCTTGTTATCCACTGTATTTTAATTGTTTCTCTCTAATCTTAATGAAGTTTTCAAAGGGAAATGTCTTGCTTCTCCTCTGAAAACAGGCATATGCAGAACAGATGCCACAGAAGAGAGAACCAAAAAGAGCAAAAGAGAAGACCGTAGCAGAGTAGCCTCCCATAACACATGTACAGCGGCACTTACCTTTCAAGTACAGGGGGTATCACTAACTCGGGCCTCATGAGTGCAAGATTCTGCAGGGCCTGGGCTGCTTCTAGACTGCCCGTTTTGCTAAACATAGCCAAGAGCACAGGCTGAATAATGCACTGCACGAAGTCTGTAACGTCCTGCTCAGTGAGCTTATGGCTGTCAGGCACAGGAGTCAGCCAAGAGGGCTTCTTGTATCTTTCACGATGCAATCTTCTAACAACACTGTTCGGCAACCTCTGCAGTAGCTTCATCAGCTTGCTCTGAGGACACAGAACAGGAGTTCGAGGTAGCTCCAACTCTCCCATACTGATACCCATGGCCCTCACTGCCCTGAATAAATGCACAATGCCACCACGTGGGAGGCTGATTCACGAGGCGGTTGGGTTTGCTTTGTGAGAATACGTGGCTCGTTCAAGGCCAGCCTGGACTACAGAGCAAGACCTGGCCTCAAAAAACAGAAAATGAAACAGAATAAAATGGGATAATTTTTTTTTAAAATAACAAATCTAAATACGAAGTCCTCCATAGCACTAGACAGGATACAAAGCTCTTACCAGTAACTACTGGTAACCACGTATGAATGGAAGTTTCAGGTTCCAGTTTTAAGTTTTTAGCACCACACAAATTTTCCATTACATGAAAATAATCAGGCCCGGGGAGATGGCTCAGTGAAACAAGCGCTTCCCTGGCAAGCACAAGGGCCTGAGTTCAATCCTGGGTTCCAAAAAAAAAAAAAAAAAAAAGAAAAGAAACAAAGAAAATAATCGTAACTGGCATTTAAAAGAAAAAGAGGGCCAGGGAGATGGCTCAGCAGAATAAGCATTTCCCTGGCAAGCGCAAGGGCCTGAGTTCAATCCCCGGTCCTGTCAAAAATTAAAAAATAAGGGGCCAGGGAGATAGTTCAATAGAGTAAGCGCTTACCTGGCAAGTGCAAAGGCCTGAGTTCAATCTCTGGTTCCGCAAATAAATAAATAAATAATAAATAAATAAAATAAAAAGAGCTGATAGCATAAAACTGAAAAGACTATTCTATGTCGTGGTGCACTTTCTTTATGATAGGGGCTCACCTTGTAGCCCAGGCTTGGCTCTAAATTCGCTGTGTATCCCAGGCTGGTCTTGAACTCTTGGTGACCTTCCAGCCTTACCTCCAAGTGCTGGGATTTTTTTCTTTCTTTCTTTCTTTATTTGATACAGGGTCTCACCACACAGTTTGGACTCATAGTGATCCTCCTGCCTCAGCCTCCCCAGTGTTGGGATTTACAGATGTGTTCCACAACACCTGGTTTCAGTAGCTGGCACAGTGCACCCGGGTTCTGGGGCTGGCACGGCATATGGTACCCGGGATAGAACCCAGGTCCTTGCATTTGCCGGGCAGGCACTCAGACCACTGAACTATCAAAGTGCTTTCAGGCAATCAGCACCACAGCAGGTAACATGGCATTTCTGTGAGCGCTCTGTCACCATGTGCGGCCTTCTGTCACGTCAGCACAGCAGCACTGTCCTATGCACATGCAGAACTAACTCAGTGCAGGCACTATCACATGCTACACCACAGGCAGTAGTTGAGCACAACCATATCTTCCAGTTTCAAGCAGGAAACAAAGTGAACGTACTCACCAGCCAGCGCCCGTTATTTGAAGGGTGGTAAAATGATGTGATGCTGTTAAACAAGCCAGATAAATGTTCCTGCACCAGCTTACTTGGTCCACCCTGTACAGACAAAAGAGTAAGAAGGTCAGTTCCTGTTTGTTTGGGGGAAGAAAAGGTAGTAAATGAAAACAAGAAACAAGAAAAAAATAGAATGTTAGTTCCTGCACTGCACTGTAAGAACGAAGGAGTCAACAGACCCACGGCTATCCACAGAGCACTACCATGGTTGACCTTCATCCTGCCGACAATGCTAACTTTAAGAGTCATAAATACCCTTTAAAATAAATTTTGAAAGCAATGGCAAAAAGAGAAAAAAAAAAGACAAGAACAAAAATTTAAGGTTTCTTGAAAGTAAGTGGTAATATGCAATCATATGTCCAATCTTACAGAACTGTATCTATTAATCTGAGCCACAGATTTTAAGATAAAAATAGATGATATATATCAACCACTGTTAATCAGCTATTCTTGTTTTGAAAATCTGTAACGTATGTATTGTATGTTACCGTTTCTTTTTCTCATTTTTATTCTTGCTTTTGTTTTTACTTTTCAAAATAAAATTAAATTTTATGTAAGAAGTAATCCTTAAATTGATTTTTCCAGTTTGGAAGAGAAATACATAGGTGAGAACCAGCTTACACAGTTG